TGAATATTGAAAATGGTTAAACAAACATGAAGCTCTCACTTTGCTTTACAACATATTTTTTGAATCCCCTTGAATCCTGATTGGTTGACTAATCCCGTAGTGATATTTTTGACTGGTCGATACAATGAGTGATCTGTGTAAAGGAGAATGAAAATCATATATATATTTGGACGTTTCCTCCTGTTGAAGTCTTTATATTTATTGTAGCTTTTTATATTGCATTACATAATAAGTTTACAATATTATTCCAGTATTCATCCGTAACCGCTAGTGTCTAAATATGATAGCATAGACTTATTCGAAAACTTGACTTTTTTTTCAGCTATATTGTATTTTGAAAACTTATCAATGATATTTCTATCCTAGATAATTCTTGAGCGGTTTGAACTTGTAACTTGGGCTTGTAACACCCGCGCAATACAGAAAAGTACCTCTTTTGCGTAATCAAAATTCATAACGGTCGATGTAAGTCCAGAATTGTATTCTGCTGTAATTTCAACTTTTAAAGATTTTAACGGACCGGAAACACGAATGAACCTCCAAATGGTTCCTGATGTTACGATTCCAAATATTACTTCAGGACAATTATCCAACCCTGATTCTTCGAATTTTCGCTTATTTCCTAATATTTTTTGATTTTTCTGAACGTGGGAAGACGAATTTACGTAATTTTAGTATTACAAATTAAGGATATTTGCTCCTGCCAACTTAAAAAATTAGAATAAATGCACTACTTCAACTGCACTGTAAATCTGCGCCAAGTTTTGAGTGATACCCTTTTCCATGTCCATCACCTTAGCTTCGGTTACTAAGGCAATAATGTATCGTATAAAAATTGCATAATCGAAACTACCATATCCATGACTTCCATTGACTTCTATTTCTACAGCCAATCGAGCCGTATTATCAACATGCTTTATTATATGGTTGACTGCCCAGGTCAAAAATATTGATATATATTCTCGACATGTAGCTTCATTAGTGGAAATCGTTTTAAATGCATTTAATTTTCTCTTAAGTTCGTCGAAAAAGCATTGCAATTCTTCATTACTAAAATGCGTAGATAACTCAGGAAGATCTTCTATTCTGAATTTATCTATCATTTCACTAGACTCGAATGCATAATCGTAAATCCTATCATTTTCCAATCACCGTATGGCTTGTGATCTTTGACTTGAACTTTAAAGTAATTGATAATAATTTCACTTTCGTCATTTTGCTTTATTTTATCCACTAGGGAATTAAGATCAAACTCATTCATGATTTGTTCTATAAGATTCTTATCCTCATAATATTCAAAATAGAGATTTCTTGTTGGTATATTTTCTAATTTTTCGTTGAACTTTGTCTTGACACACTCTTGTAATAAGCTAAAAGAACCACTAGAATGTGGAATGTGACACTCGCTTTTATTTACACACTTGTTTGCAGTAAACCTGCAGTTCACTTTAACTGCGGAGAAAGCAAATGAGTGATATTTACATTATAGGAAATGTAAAAAGACATTTTTTACTTACTGCTTAAGTCAGACAATGGGTAACGAACAAGCAGTTCTGTTGAATTTGTGATACTTAAAGATTCAAGTGTAGTCTTTGGGGAAAGAATTTGGGGGTTTTATATTTCCCTCACTAATATTCGCAAGTTCATTAAACCTTATATGAAGAAGCGTCTTAAGATTGTGTACATTTGGGTTGCTTGGATAATCATTTTCATTAACAATGAATTCCTCGAAATCTGGATTTCCCTCAAGTTTTACCCACATTGCTATTATGGAGTTTAGAGAACCCGGACATTTTTTATCTTCGTTGGACATCTTTTCAACTGCGGAAATACCAATTTAGGTTAGTTCGAATATCAGTTATGGATTAGGATTAGGATTACTTACATTTACTAAGCTTATCGTTATACGTATTTTTTTTTAAAAAAAGAAAAATTCTTATAATAAAGAGTTTGGTTAATTGGCTTTTAAATTTGTTCGGAAAATGTTTGTAAACTAGGTAAATGGAAACCATTTAAGGTCCGAAGGACTTGTCACGGATCAGTCCGACAATGGGTATTTTCGGAGCAAATGTTCGTTTTTATCAATCAACCAATCAAACCCCTTAATTTGGCCCGTAATGTCCTTCGGACAATACGAAGCCTAAATTTTCCCATTGTATTAAATAAATCGACCAATTAACGTTAATTTTTTCAACACATTTATTTGTTTACGCGAATAAAAAAACGGAATAGTCGCTTCTTTTTTGATTTTCGAAATAACGCGGATAACTTCGTGCCATCAAGCATTTTAATGTAGAACAGCACTTGAAAGTGGATTCCTCAAACCGTGTTAAAGCTAATAGGTGTCTTGTAAGATTTAGGGCAAGTATAACGTTTAGTCGAATGTGATAAGGTAGAATTCAACGACGGGCTGAGTACGTCTTTGCCTGTAATTGTGGTTTGAATATATATCTTACAACTACTCTCATAAATATGGACCTGTTTTATATCTGATACACAGTATTATAGTCAGATTTTTTTAATAACGCATACAATATTATGGTCAGACTTTTTTAATAATACATACAGTAATAGACCATACGAATACATTTGAGAGGGTTCTTTATTTATGAGGCCCAGCTGTAATTATGGATATATTGCCATGTTGCTTCCGGGGGGTACGTCCTCGCTGGCGGTCAGGCTACGTGCTATTTCATGGCTTCTACCTTATTACTTTTAATTATAGGAGTACCGTTTTTATTACATATATTTTTTTTATTACCCTTCTCCTATCCGATAAATATAACTGCCATGTTGCTTCCGGGGTACGTCCTCGTTTGCGGTTAGGCTACGTGCTATTACATGGCTTCTACTTTATTACTTTTAATTATATTTTATTACATATGTTTTTTATTACCCTTCTCCTATCCGATAAATATAATTGCCATGTTGCCTCCGAGGTACGTCCTCGCTGGCTGTTAGGCTACGTGCTATTACATGGCTTCTACCTTATTACTTTTAATTATATTTTATTACATATATTTTTTTATTACCCTTTTCCTATCCAATAAATATAATCACAATATGCAATATGATGATGTGATGGATGTTGATTCTCCCCAAAAGATTGATGGACGGTACTCCCTCTTAAAAGAATATTATTTATTACTAATTTATTTTTAAGACTATTTTTTTTCTAGTTACTTTATATAGTCTGCTGTTCCTGTATGCCTTAAATAAAACTACATATGAAAAAAAGAAGATATATGAAATCGTAATCGATCGCACGGCAGCCGAAATTCAACAATAATATCAATAACAAAAGTAATAAATACAGTATGAAAGTATAAAAATATCGAATCAGATCATTATTCAGGGTATAAATTTTATTGTCTATTATCGTTATTCATGACTTTTTTTTTTTAAATTATTAAAACCGGTATTTTCATTCAGTCATTATTCTAACAGAATTTCGAAGCCCCTGGACGTATGTGAAATATGAATGCTTTTTACTTTAATTGAATTATTGATTTGTAGTATATTAACGATGAATTACAATGTAACAAAAGCTGTTGATCGCAGAGATCCTAATAAAAAATCAACTTATATGTAGAGACGGAATATGGAACCTTGAAGATAATTACGATGGTAGACCAGCTACAAACTTTTGCCACGGAGGTAACATGTGTCGCTGGAAGTTGGAACAAAATATCAGGAGGACAGGCCATTGTAACTGACAATTTGAATATAATGGCAGTAATATAACGACTCGAATATGTTGATGATGAATAATAAATTCATATAATTAGCTTAAGCTATTGCGAAGAGTTTCGTGCCGTCAAAACGTTATTACGTTCTTTGGAGTAACGAAAGGTAAACAAGTAATTTATAATTTTTGAAGATATCAACTAAATAATACGTTAAACAAAAATATATATTTATCATATCAAATCGAATATATAGATAGCAACGAATATTATGATATGGTTTTACAATATGCTAATCAAGGAATTTTACGAAAATACCTAATGCAAGTTTTACGAACTTACAACGGGCAGATAAACTATGTATTGCTAAGGAAATAGCTTTTATTTTTACATCGCATTATTTTTATATTATAAGGTGTTTGAACTGAACTGTGTGATTGTCTCATCCAAATATGACATATGGTCTATTGTTTGCAATCCATCTCATAGGAGGGTGTTTAGCGTTGGGTTTGTATGATTGCATTACTAACCTACTGCTTCAAACAATTCCAAATGGTCAAAACTTTTTTTAAAAAAATAATGGAGATCTCGCTAATGACAACCGGACCACATCAGCAAGACTAAATTCTGCTTCTGCAGAAAAATCTCTTGGTGTTTGTTTGGCGAAGTGGGTATGACATAGTGTGGCATAATTGTCTGCTCTCATGTCCTCTTATACACTGATAATGTAGCTACTTGCTTTCTGGAAGTGTGCCAGTTCCGAAAGTTCAGTTCTACTTGTTATAGATATTTTCAAAATTTTGTCTTTACAAATTCCTCTTAAACAAAAAATGCAAAATTTTAACACTGTTTTATAAATTTTATTTTAATGATCTAAATAGATGGCATGGAGTTTTAACAATGATACTTATATCATATACAAAAAAATTATAATACACATGTATAATGATTATAAATAAAGTATTTAAAGTTTTGGATTTATTCAATGAGACCCAACTTTCAAAGATGATTTGGAATAATCTTGTATGGATCCTTGTAATACTAAACATATATTAAAACAATTAAATTCTTCTTACAAAGTTCTTTTTTGAGCTAATTATGCATCAACAGCTTTTCAAACTCTTCCGGATCTTTGTGAAAGTATTTTACATGTTGCTCATGTTGTTTGCCTTGTACTTTTATAGCAAATCCATACTGTGGATAGTAGATATCAAGTTCTAGTTCTTGAGGATGTTCAGATATTTTCAAGAAATCTGGTTTGCAGATGCTGGAAGGTGGGCCAAGAATGTTAGTTATGACTTCACGACATAGATTTTCATGTTTATTTAAGCAATATGAGCACCATGTCTTAAAGTGCTTTATACAATTAAAATTTGAAACCCATCTATAACTCTTATTACATATCTATTGCATTGGAACACAGAGATTTATATATTCTGTAGAAAGACACATACCTTCTCTACTATAAGCGATTTCCTTAGCTTCAGAAAGACCACAGGAAAGATTGTTAGCACATTGTATGCACTATCTTCCTATATTTTTTATTCCATTAAGAGATGCAGACCATTTATAACCTCTAGAGCATTTTCAAGCATTGGACTATTTATATTGGCATATTTTGTAAAAAGGCATTCACTACCACATTCTTTTGCAATGCTATTTGTTATGTCAATATTAAAATATTGGCACTGTTGACACCAAGTTCCTTTAATAATATCTTTAGCTGAAACCTTCTACTTATGTTCTTTTATGCACTGCCATTCAAGAGAATCCTGTCTATTAATATATTTAGTTGAAAGGCAAGTACCTCCTTTTTTTTCTGCAAGTATTTGCATATCCACAATAGTTCAAGTTCGAGTAGGGCAATTTGTAGGGCATTGTGGACATCATAATTGTATTATAGTAAGAGGTGTAGTCTATTTATAATTTCTAGAGCATTTCCAAAGCATTAGTGTTTTTTTATTGATATATCTTTTAGAGAAACATTCACCTTCTTTATTATATATGATTTTTTTAACAATATCTAATATTAGTCTTGCTATTTGTAACTTATTAAATATTTATTGTTTATGTATCCTTTAAAAGGCTAGAAAATTCCTCCCTTGAAACAACCACTACTTCAATATTCATTTTCTACTTAGCTGGCTCAGGCCATTTTCACATATATCTACAAATTAATAAAGTTATATTTTCTGTAATTTGATTTTTAAATGTATTTGTCTATATACCAAGAATTTTATTTACTATAATTTGTTTTAGCACGTATGTGCTAGCCCATGCTAAAATATATCAGCTTTTTCACAACATATCTATGCAGAATAAATTAGAAATTCCTTATAAGGCTTATCATTATGTATAATTTGTTTGCATATATGTAAATGGGTCACAAACACAGCTACTACACATCACAGGTATTGTAAGACATGCAAAAAAGTAGCGAATGGAATATATAAGGCCATGCAAAATTAATTAAATGGTTTTCATAACCCGGCCGGGTCAAAATTTGAAATTTTCAAAAAAAAAATTTTTATATGTTTTAATAACCGGGTGGGTTTTAAAAAAAAAATTAATATAAATTTTGTAAAATTTTATATATGAAATTTAAAAAAAAAAGCCGGCCGGCCAGGTCTATTTAAAAGTTTCATGTTATGAAAACCAAGTAATCAAATTTGTATGGCCTAAGTGGTGTAAATATGAAAATTTACATTAAATAAAAATTACTGCATTATGTATAACTTATCTGAAACGGGTGCACAAAGTATTATTTTTAAATTTTTCTCGAATTAGTACCCCAATCTAAATTTGGACAATAATTTCATAACACATATATTATCTATACAATTAAATTTTTTTTAAATTTTTGAATTTTTGAATTTTATTTTTTAATGTTTATAGAAAAAATAACATCCAAGCTTTAGATCTATTCTAAAGCCAATACAAAAGTTTATTCATTCTAACCAAAACACATATATTTTTGCTTTTATAGTTTTTATAATAAAAAATAAAGGCTCTACTTAGTGGTCAAACAAAATATATTACATAGAGATCTTTCTCTATGCCATAATACTGAAGATCTCAAGATCTTCAACATGTATTCCGCATGTCTAGAGGGTGCTCTATGACAAAT